GAAGGCAGCAGGTCATCAACATTTAGCGCTCATCCACGCTATGGGATTGACTGTTACTACTATAACGCATCACAGCTTAAAGTGAGGGGATTATTGTGTGGTATTGCACCTACTCGATGCTATATCCGAAATTCAGCCCAATACCACAAAGTCTACAGGAGCTATTTATTATTGACTCTGGATGAAGTTTCACTAGTTACTATCTATACTGGTGTCCTCACATTTCTCTCATACACATTGGTTAGGAGTTTTGGTCTCTGTAATATGAAGCTCTGACAAAGTAGCTTCGTCCCGGCATGGCCAGGTGGTTAGGGCGCTCGACTCGCAATTTGAGGGTCGCGGGTTCGAATCCCCGTCACACCAAACATGCTCGCCCTTTCAGCCGTGGGGGCGTTATAAAGTGATGGTCAATCCCACTATTCGTTGGTAAAAGAGTAGACCAAGAGTTGGCGGTTGGTGGTGATGACTAGCTGCCTTCCCTCTAGTCTTACACTGCTAAATTAGGGACGGCTAGCGCAGATAGCTCTCGTGTAGCTTTGCGCGAAATTCAAAAACAAACAAACAAAGTAGCTTCTCAAATACAATAACCACAAACTTTTTTTAGATTAAAATTTACTTTTTTTTTTTAGGATGAATTAATTTATGTTTCGTTTGTATCTTAGGATATAAATGTTTAAAGCACATATTTTAACTACAGTTTCTAATATATTCTACAGTTGCACCAGTCTGTCGCCAGGGCCAAAAAATAGCCTACGGTCTCTCTGTGAATGAAACTGCCTTCGTCACTTGTAAAGTTGAAGCTGACCCTCCTGACATCACATTCCGTTGGAGTTTCAACACTTCAAATTCAGGCCACGAACTACTCACCCATTCCACAGAAGGCCTCAAAAGTGTGGCGTCATTCACTCCGAAAGAAAAACACGAATATTCAGAGCTATACTGTTGGGGTAGAAATAGTGTTGGGATACAGCACGAACCGTGTTTGTTTTCGCTCATTTTTATTGGTAAGTGGGTAACATATATTAAGTATGTTCTGTATATATATAAGTAAATCATTATACCATCAGTATCATCCAAATGCATGTTATTCAGTAGAATGGTATAACTTAGATCATTGTTCCACTAAAATTCAAATAGTTATCTAAAGAATCAAGCTTGTTGTGATATTGGTCTCCCTTTAAAATATCATCATTTTGTAAAATATCTCTAACCTTGAAGCAGAGAAGCATTCCAATACCACTATACATATCGGACTTCAAGATCAATATTTTGTTTACACACTATTACTTAAACTTCTCACGGTCCCTACACAAACTCCTCTATTTTCCAAAAAAGCTCAATCTTTTATCATTCCTTGGTCCATATTCTTATTTATTCTTTGCTACGTATTAGAATTTCAGAATTTCGAAAGGTCTGAAACCGAGCTAAATGATACGTTAAATTTAGTAGTTAAATTGTACTTTGGATTTAGCAGTTAAGTAAAAGCCAATATATTGTCAGTTTATGATATTTGCCAACAAGATTGATACACACAGTTTTCTTTTCTTTTTTAACACAACTACGTTTTAATATACACACAACAGTACAATTTACAATAACATTTATTACAAATAGTTATTACAAACAATGAGTTATATACAAAAGTTTTACAAACATACAAGCAATACAAAGTCTTCTTTCTAGTCTGGAACTTCTTCGATATCTTATAACGGGTTCACGATGAGCGAGTTAATTACGAGTTGACGTAGGTATAATTCACTTAAAAGGGAGCTTTGTCCTTCGTTACTTACCAGCCACACAGAGTTTTCCACGATGAAGTTATATGATGTTTTCGTAAAAGTACTAATGTCAGATAAGAATCCAATGAAGTTAAATGATTTTTAATGTTCGAACTTTGTAAATGCTCCTGGTCAAATATCTGAAGTTTTCCGATTGATAAGCGTTATAAAAATCACAGTTATAGCTTCCGAAGTTTATAGCACACTGACTATAGCAAACTAATAGTAGATGCTACATTTTTGGCGCGTCGTGTTGGTTATATTTATAGGCGTGTGGAGAGCTTCTAGAAAATTCAGATTATGTAACAATACGAAGCTACATTAAACGTTTACGTACATACATACATTGTTGATTCTTACACTATGGAATCTTCTACAACTTTAGAAAATAGGCGGGAATTCGCCATATATATTTAACAGTATATGTTATGTACACTTGTAAATATAAATTTAACTCAAGCAAACATCGATATTAAAATAAATATATAATAATAAATACGTCACATCTTCCAAACTTTAGTTAATCCTTTGTTGTAACTTAAACTACTTAGACAATAATTTGTCACGTGAAATATCAA